TATAAAAGAATTGTTGTTCATAAAAGTTTGTATAGTAAAAAAATACGTAGGAGTCCGTTGGTATACGTTTCTCATATTTTAAATTATTTAAATGTTCAGAGCTTCAAATATGATAATAAGAAGTTTCGAATATTCTTGTATCTAGAACACTTTCATCTTGATTTTTCATCTCAAGTTTTGAATATTATCGAGGTCTTAGGTTATTGCGATTGCTGTACATTTAAAATGAAACTATTTTTGGAATTTTTATCGCGTACATTTTTTTTTCTACGTTCCTGACTTCTTATAGGTTCCACAGTCAGCCGTGACCATGGTACCTGTAAATAAACCTGTTAAGCTCTAACCTCAATGTTTGTTTGTGAAATATTTTGATTAATTAATACGTGTTTAGATGTTCTAAAGAACGTGTTCCTTACAATGCCGTGTATGAGCGGAGATCCGGAGTAACAAAACCCAACCTTGAAAAAGCATGCTACGCGTTCTAATGTTTATGTACGATACAAATCTCTATATTACACGCAAGATAACGTAGAAGGTACTATGTAAGTTACTGTGGACTATATAGAGTCCATTATATTGCAATTCATTTCAATGCTGGATTTCGTGACACCATCAGGCCCTGTAGCATGCCACCGCGATAAAACTGTTATATCCATATTTAGCTGTCAAATTTGGGTGATAAGACCGACATTTTAAAACTTTATCACAATAGTTAACATGACGAGCACCGGGACGTCACATTTTTTTGCGGCGCATGCACGCAACTAAACAAAAACCCGGCTTACTAAAAATTTTGTAGTTTCATCATTGTCGCGGCGATGATTAAACCATAAAGATATACGAAATTTCATACCGTTATCCTTGTACTTCAAAATGTATAACAATAGTTCATTACCAAATAAACAAAAGAGCGAACGACTTTAGTGCGGTATCTTACCTATAAAAAAATGGCATGTTGCTAGCTGTATCAACTGAAATAAATATAATATAGCATGCGATATACTGCCATGCTACGGCCGCTGGACTTTACATTTAAGCAGATTGATACACGACCTATACATAATATGTCTACTAAAGTTTTTGAAGGCTTGTGGAAAATTTATAGTCAAAATCATATTAGTAGAGCTGGCTTTAAGTGCATGAATATCTCTACTTTGAAATAAGTATATCATATCAATAGTTTTCTGGAATAACAGCCGATTTTAAAAATGCATGAAGACTGTCTCTCACGGACCGTGATTTTACAGATTTCCTCACATGGCCGACGACCACCAACAGCCAAACAACGGAACGAAATCTGGCTCATTTTATATTAATAATTTAACCAATACAGAAGGACAATTCTTTGCAACTCATCACCAATTTTTCGCTACAAATTGATCTCCGCGTTATCATAAACGAGTCTATTCTCATGCTGCATGGGTTCATGCGAAGTGATCGGTAAAATCATGGACCATGGAAAGCCGCCTTAATATGTAAAGAAGTTGATTAATAACTTTTTATAATAAAAGAATCCACCTTAAAAGTGAGCGAAATTATTTGCCAAGTTTTATTAAATTCGGTTAACGGAAGGTGGGTAAGTCCAATAAACTGGTTTCATCCCCCAATTTGCTACCCTTAGAGGTAGAATATTTTCTTCAAGTTTGAATGATATCACTATTGAGGGAAAGGGGATACCCCTTTCCAACAAAAAAATAAATTCATCGAAATCGGTTCACAAATGTCGGAGTAATGGCGTAACATGCACAAAAAAAATTTTGTCGAATTGCGAACCTCCACTTTTTTTTGAAGTCGGTTAAAATTAAGGCGTCTCTAGCGCACAAAGGCGACGAATCGTGCACCGGCCAATTTCATTAACCGATTAGATTAACCAATCGGAAACTCAGTGTCTTATTCACAATAAAATTTAGCGCGTGCTAAATACGCTAGTATAATATAAAGTCCATAATCTCACTATAGAGTACTAAAAAAACCGACCTAGAAATTTCGTGGAGTTTTATCTATTTGCCAAGTTTTCTTGAAATCGGTTACCGGAAAGTGCGCGAAACCGAATTCATCCGCTAGTTTGCCACCCTTAGAGGTGGAATATTTTCTTCAAATTTAAATGGGACCAATACTGCGGTACCCTCTTTTCAACAAAAAAAAAAAATCATCAAATGCGGTTCACAAATGCCGCCGGAGTTATCGCGTAACATATAATTGTAAGTCAATGGTAACATATATTAAAACAAAACACAGTCGATTTTTTTTTCTTACAAAGCACAAACGGCACAAGTTGACAGCAGACCCCGCACTAAGCTTCGTTACAGAATGAAATTAAATTTGAAACGTTATTAAGTTATAAAACATTATTAATTTGTAAAACTTTATTAATTATTTAATAAAATATTAGATTATTTGAAACATTATTAAAATCTCTAGAACTTCTTCCTTTTTTGCCCATAAATATATTCGCGTAAACCAGCTAAATATGGCTTAGGAGAATAAACTTAGGTATTTATATATTACATATAACGATTGGGCGATAATAACTTGGCTAATACCGCCTGATAATTCATAAATGATTATCCACTTATAATATTATAATATATACTATGTATAAATATATTATCGGTGTATTAGCATTTGACAAAATACCTATAACGAATTCTCAAAGCTTAATTGCTTTATCTTAAGTATAATCATTTAAGGCACAGAAGAGTAGATATCGGCCAATAGACTGGTTAACTTGTTTGTGTATATGCCCTATTTTTAACCGGCTTCAAAAAAGGAGAATTCAGAATAATCTCAGTACAGAGTACTAAAAAACCGACCTCAAAAGTCATTCATCCCCTAGTTTGCCACGCTTAGAGGTGGAATATTTTTTTCCTTAACAATTTGAAATTCACACTATTTACCAAGTTTTATTGACGTTTACGGAAAGTGGGTGAAATCCAATAAACCAGATTTATCCCCTAATTGCCACCCATGGAGGTGGATTATTTTCTTCAAGTTTGTATGGGACTAAGGTACCCTTTCCAACGACTGTCTGAGTAACTGTGTAAACACACATTAAAAAAAATACAGTCGCATTGAGAACCTCTTCCTTTTTTGAAGTCGGTAACAATTTTCAAATTTTCACACAATACACTTAAGAGTCGATACTGAATTGATTCTACTGCACGGGTCGAGTGGCAGGGACGCTGGCTTTATTTCACAATTTATTTATTTACAATCGAAATTAAAGCCACTTGAAAAATGTATATCGTATAATAGACGTGTTCAATTTAGCTCAGTTATATAAAAATTAAATTAAAAAAATACATATAACAAAAAAAAAATTATAAATATATGTGATGTACCTATTGAATATAGCGGTTTTCTTGTAAAACTTCGAGGTAAGTTTGTGTTTTTTTTGTATCGTGAAAATCTTTAGGAATCGTATTTCACATCGTACAGTGATCAGTGATCTTCAATTTTACTATATACTTTTGTGAATGGTGGATTCAACACTTTCACTGTTGTGCGGAATCTATCAAAGCCATTTGACATTGTATAAAAATCATCACATTTTATGTAATTGAATCTTTTAGGCTGTGGAACAAGCGAGAATGTAATGTTGTCACCCAAAATAATAATTAGCACCAACGTAATTAATAGATTCGATGTTGAGTACACGATTACACGAGCTACGAAATTAAGTTATCCCAGAACAGCCAAACTGGGACCGATTTAGAAAAGCTCGTTTCTCCTACCGGGACTTGAACCCGGGATCTCCTTATCTAGCGCCCATAGTGCTAACCATTCTGCCATCAAAGTCTTCATATATACATATATAGAAGGACTGTGAAGGACAAACCCTTTACTTTTAGAATACAGGCACTTTTTAATTTGAAGCAATGTGACAAACATTTCAATGTAACTAAATAGAAAGTAATACTCTTACGTGTAGAGATTTTTAATACATAGTGTATTAAAGGCGGTACATAAGGAATTACGAACGAGTCTATTAGAAATTTCTGTACCGCCCGTGTTACATATTGTTTTCCATAACATTTGCGAGGAAATTAATACAAAGATAAATGCAGGAAAAATAATCGCTTCACAACCAACGATATCTATTTACAACACAACATTTACGGATTTTGCAACTGGCGGGTTTGTGTTTTTTTCTGTCTATTCTATCTATATAAAATAAATAAACAACAATAGTTATGGTATCACTGTAACCTTAATTTTCAGCTATTTTCCCGGAAATTACAGTATCATTATCAGTAACAATGAATTATGTCTAATGACTTTAGTAAATAAAATATTAACCGGTCAATTTACGATGTAATATCAGTTTTATAAAGTTTATTGAATGTATCTATCGATCTATCTACTAAATTGTATGACCGTTTCAGTAACAACTGGTTGTCATTGATTCGTTGATTCGTTTCACACAAAAAAAGTGAAATGCACATTCCTTGGTATGTATGTTACTTTATATACCGACAAGTTTTCGTCGATTTTTATATAATTTAATAAATATAAAGTACACTTGAGTTCAGGAATCTTTAACAGCAAAAGCAAGTGTGTAGTTAACACTAATTACAAGACAGAAATTCTATCTCCGGAACCTTAACCAAGTAGAGTCGAAGGTGAACATGCCAATTTATGTATGTACATTACTACACGAACTAGTTTATTCTAAGGAATATAAATTGGTGCCGTGTAAAAACAAAAATTGTCAATTTCTGTGACTACTGCTCGTTTGCTAACAATATAAATAACGTTGTCACCCACCAATTAAGCAATGTTTACTGTAACGAATAGAGCAAAAAATAATGTTTGTTTTCGCAATATAAATTCCGTAATGTAAATAGTTGGAATAGTTTTGTGATCGAGTAATACGTGCATTTAATAGTAATTTTATTTCAAGCATTATTTTAGTTATTAATTAGACTATTGAAGGTTTGTTAATAAAGGTAGTAAATTTACCAAGAACACTACAAAAAGAAGTAATAAAAAAGACTCACATTCCAAGGACTCCACATTCTTAGTGACTTCGGGTATCAGATGCATGAAGGTGACAGAGAGCAGGACACCTCCTCCGAAGGATAGTAAGGTTATTATCACTTTATTTTTGGTCTTGAGATCGGTCGCATCATCAGGTTGTACCCATTTAAATTTCTTCGCGAGCAGCATGGGGATTATGCCGCAAATCAAAGAGGAGACGAAAAGGACCGCCATGGCCACTCCTTTCGCGACAAGAACTTCGCTCGTGTCATGCTCGTGCCTTAGAATGACGTCCATTTTTTTAAGTTATTTGTATAAAGTTTGTAACTGAAATGGCACAGCGCAAGGGCGCGTGGGTTTTTATACCGGCCGCGGTATCAAGTGCGCGTGCGTTGACGAAGAGCGACACGGGGATTATGATCGCGTCGCTGCCCCAGTCCGTTTCACTCCCGCGCAGCCTGCACGCTCTCCAAAGCCTTAAAGTACGTTCGCTTAATTGATGCGCAATAAATGATTATATCAGTTATTTAAACAAATGGATGTAACAGAGATATGACGTACAGAACGTCATTATGTCCATTTTATATTCTATGTAGGTCATGATATGTTTGTCATTCCAAAATAATATTATGTCAGGCGTGTTTTTAAAGTAAGTGCCATTTTCAAATTCGGCCACTGCAGCGCAGTGAGGTGTGAAAGCAATTGAAAGTCAATGTCAGATCTGTGAAGTGTATGGACAAAACTTTATAAGCGATGGAATGATCGTTGAAACGGACAACTTGATCACCCTCCATATTGTTCAGATCTAACGTACAGTGACAATCACGTGGTCATGCCACGATGACGATGATGGTGTCAAAACGGTCGTGTTGCGGTGGTGGTCAAATCGGGTCGCAGACGTCTATGATGACGGGTTTCAAAAGCTGGTTGTACGGACAACGGCACATCAGACTACACATTTTTGTTCGAAAATCGCCTCCAGTGCAACGGAACAAGATACGTCAATGTGTAGCTTGATGTGCTGGCGTGTGTACAATACGATAAGTGCCTTAGTATTGACGGAAATTATGTGCCGGTTCATGTATAATATTAAAATTGTTACGAATAGTTGACCTATCTTTTTGTATTTCAAAACGGCACTTATTTAAAAAACACGCCTCGTAAATTAAACCATTCAACCTAATCTAAATCATGTATTTTAATTATTGATATTGGGTTGTTCAATATAAAACCATTAGTTTTTATCTACTTCGAAATAATAATAACAAATAATAAATTTTGATTGCCAAATATTTAGTCCATAAAAAAACCGACCTCCAAAGTGCGTGGAATTACATCTATTTGCCAAGTTTTATTGAAATCGGTTACCGGATTGGACGCGAAACAGGATTCATCCCCTAAATTCACAACATTTTATTCAAATTTAAATGAGACCACTGCTGAGGTACCCTCTTTTCAACAAAAAAGAATCACCAAAATTGGATCACAAAAACCTGATTTTTAACTGACTTCAAAAAAGGAGGACATCGATTCGACTGTATGTTTTTTTGTATTTATATTACGTTGTGGCGGATTTGTCTTAAGTCCCGGTAGGCCCGGATCTAGGGCCGCCAGATTTTAGAGGCGGCCAATCGTGAAAAAACGGCTTTAAATGTTTTATATAAATCTGAAACCTACGAAAATATTAAAAACTAGCAGCTGTTATAGTTAACTAAATTTCTGAATCGATTTCGATAAAAGTTGGCAATATAGTGAATTCATTATGTAGTTTACCAATATATGTTGAGTGCTGAGAAAGGGGCGGCTGGTACTGACTACATGTCCTGGAGCCTAGGGCGGCCAAGACTGCAAATCCGCCACTGTATGTAGGTTATGTGTTCTTGTATGTTTTAAAGCCCCGCACTAGGAAATTATATCCAAACTCACTAGAGAAATAATTGTAACCCTTATAAATATTTCTCCTACCCCGGGAATCGTATCCGGGGACCTCTGCGTGGCAGTCCAGTGTGGCAACCGTTCGGCCTCGGAGGCAGTTACAGTTAAGTGATAAAATAATTTCCTTTTCATTTCAAATTTGCAATATTTAGACGTTACTTACAAATAAACTTTTACCAGTAAATATATACGGATAAATCGTACAATAGTATAATCGTAAAAAAGCCACACGTGATCGTACGTCAAAATTACTTTTAACACACGCAAAAATCTTAAAAATACATAAATAATTATGAATAAATGCATGCTATATATGTATGTATAAATGTAATAAATATATGTATACTGAAATATTGTGTTATATAATCCGTTTAAAATCAAAGTAGTTTATTCCTTCACTTTATCTCCTTCATTCAATTTACCACTGAGAGTACAACACAAAAATCGATATAAATAGGCAAATTTATCTAGATTTCTGTGGAGTGCGATATATGGTGGAAAACTTTACATGTCTAAAATGTTTATTAGGTGTTTAAATTTGGAATGTCGCTAAAACTAATCCAGTTATACCGCTAGATGGCATTGAAATTTGAATTAACATTTAAATTTTTTGGCCTACTAGACACAATAGGGAAGCAAGGGTTTGTGATGTCATTTTATCTTGTATAGCACACACTTTGGCCGAAATCATCAGTAGTGACCTTCGAGTTTTATGTCTATGTGTGCACCCTAAGGCACATGACATAGGTTGCCACATGTATAGGTAGACGGCATGTCTGCAGTTAACGTGCGTGCAGTCGTGATCAACTTGCTTGCAGCCGAAATTTCGTCTACAAGGGTCGACTGCAGTCAATGTGACCGAGAGTCAAACGCTGACATTGACGTTTTTATTTATTTATTTATTTATTTATTTATTTCTGCAGTATGTACAATTTTGGTGAGAAAGATCTTAAAAACAACACAATGCCAATATGTACATAAGCCCTGTTGGGGCATTGCAATTACATTTATAAATTACATATTAAAATATTATAAAAGTAATAATTATAAGAGCAAGTATTTCATTTAGGCATATAGGCCTTATTTTATACATAATTTAATTTTAAAATTGGAATATTAATAATGACTATATAAGAATACATATTATTACTTTTATTTTTACTTTTATAAATCACATAGTAGATAAGATCGCAAAATGAAGTCAATGTCTCAATGTTTAAAAATCGAATAAATTTTTATTTGTCATTAAAGAATTCATGCATAGAATAATAGGTAGCACTTTTCAATTAAGTATTTTTTTAATTTAACCAAGAGAGTTTTATTATTTATTTCATTTTTAATATTGAGGGGGTTTAAAAGGATACATGCATATATCCGTTGCTGTTCAACATATACCTACATGATATAGAGACATGCTTCAAGTACCTACTCAAAAGATAGATTAACGGACTTCGACTTAAATGTCAGAAAATGCCAAATAATTTCATTCACCCGAAAGCGTACTTTTATCTCTCACAAATACCATTTCAATAGCACTTCTATTTCTAGCGTTAAACTCGTCTGCGATCTAGGTGTAATGCTAGATCATAAGCTCTTGTACACGTCGCATTTCCATTTTTTTACTCAGAGATCTCATAGAATGCTTGGATTTCTTCATAGAAGTGCCAAATGTTTTCGGCAGACAGAATCTTTAAAAAAGCTTTACTTTGCTTATGTCAGGAGTGTGGTGGAGTACGCCTCCCCTACATGGTCTCCATCTTATGTGAGTCCGTGCAGCGTTGTTTCACACGTAGATTGAACTACCGCCTCAAAAGGTACGACGACTACCCCGATAGACTCAACTTTTTCCAGCTGGATTCACTCGAGGATAGGCGTCTGTTATCAGATATGAAGTTTCTGTTTGATGTAGTTAACTTTGTGTTGGATTCTGTAAAGTTTGCAAATAAATAAATATTTTGTATCAAGTAGTCCTTACCTTTTGCCGTTACTTAAAAAAAAAACTGATACAACTTGTCTTTGTTTCAGTAATAGCAAAAGAGAAGGATAATTTGAGGGTCTAAATCAACATAGTGGCAAAAGCAAAACACGATTATTGAAACTCTTCTAGCAATCCGCCGCACAGGTATAATCGAAGATTACAGTCATGAGTTTAATGAAAAATTACCAAAAGAGGTTTCGATAGTGATTATGTTTGTTTGCTTAAGGAAAGTCAGCATTTGTAATCATTAATTTGTTATCCGCTAACTAAAATGCGGCATTGTGACAAAAATGTTTTTTTGTGATATCATAAAAAATCATAACCCAGTTTTACAATATTCAAACTATGTAACGATGTTTTTGGCGAGTGTTCAGCAGTGTGCGTCTTCCGGCTGATATGATGATGATGATGAATGATATTTTAGCTATGCATCATTAAAAACAGCTAGAGTGGTTAGACCTGGCGACTTTTAGCAGCGATACAAACGCGTGTTCGCTAAACGCGTGATTGCATCGCCACACTTGCGATTTGTAGGCGATTGCATCTGCATTGCAGAACTAAATTTTTATGTAATTTAGGTTTAGGTAGGTTTTGTAGGGGGAAGTTGGCATATAAGAATAAAACAAGTAAATGCACCTACTCATTTTTCAATAACTCTGTTCACGTTTAACACTTACTTCCTTTTCGATCAGGATAGACCGAGTTGATAGGGGGCGCCACCAGCGTAAAAGAACGAAACGTCATTGTTGTTAACAGATTAGGATTGGAAACAAAACTTGGTATTATATATATAGCACATTCTTCGCTTCTTTGTTAACGACACTGACGTTTCGTTCTTTTACGCTAGTGTCGCCCCCTATCAACTCGGTTTGACCTCGGCTTTACAAACTTTTCAGTACTTCATAAGAATACGTATAATTATTATAATACATAGCATTGTAATAGATCTATTATAATTAAACGTGAATTGAAATACAACTGTTGATGACAGTTATCTGTCATTCAACATTCATCATTTATATGTCTACATCAAATAATTAATTTTCATAAAATTTCTCACTTCTACGCTTTCATCACATACATACATAGATATATAACATATAGACATATAACATTTATCGAGCCACTTTCAAGACTAATGTAAGAAAGTTGCGTAATTCTACATGTTTCTCTTCTGCCTCTTTGGTTGACTGAATTTGGTTATACTTAAAAATCGGTACAGTATAAACAACTTTATGTTCAATTGAATCTATATCAATGTTTATACAAATTCAAAATTCGCGTACACCTAACCATAACAGACTTTTGTTTCGAGTAAGTTCAACCTTCGAGTATTATTGTGTATTATTATATAAAACTAATATAAGTATTAGGCAACACCAAAACCGAGGATAATAGAATTTGATTATGACTATGTCGCGCATCACATCTAACATAGTATTATCTCAAAATGGCTTTAAGTTATATTAATATTACCTATTTACTTTCAAAGCGACAGTGTTGT